TCAAACTTGGCAAGTTTAAGACTTGTGGACTTCAGCTCCCAGAATTCCTGAGCTAACATGACTGGAGGAGGAATTCTGGGAGTTGAAGTCCACAAGTCTTAAAGCTGTCAAGTTTGAAGATCCCTGTTCTACTCCAACCCCCTGCTCCAGCAGGAGATCCTTACAGAATCATAGAACAGCAGAGTTAGAAGGAACCTTGGAGGCCATCTAGCCCTACTCCCTGCTCCAGCAGAAGACCTTATATCATCTGGAATCTGGATTATTTTGGTGCCACTAACAGAGAGGAAAATTGGCAGAGGAGTTTACTAGGACAAGTCTGCCGTGCAGAGGAAGGAAGAGATAGTCCTTCATTTATGATCACAACTGAGGCCAAAATTTTGGTTGCTAAGCAAGAGTGTTGTTAAGTGAGTTTCACCACATTTTACTCAATCCGTGATATCTCCTGGGTCTAACGGTCATGTGCAGGCTAGCGAAGTAAATCTGAAGGCGTGTGCAATGTTCTGATGTACCGAAATTATAGTTAAATGTGTGGCAGAAAGTGGACTATGGGTGTGTTTTTCCAAACACAGTGAGGTTGAACGTGTAGAGAGAAGAGCTGTGTGTGGGTGTGTGTGTGGATGTGTATACAGTATATATAGTAGATAATGTATCTTTCTGTGTGCCTTTACACACACTATACTATGTAATATGTATGTACACATATGGCATATATACATAGGATTAAATAGTGTATTTTGGATGTTTAGCAATAGTAAATAAATAGAGAGGGAAATTGTATCTCTTTGAGGCCAGGAAAGGCACTCCTTGATGTGAGTGACGTCAAGCTGGCCATGCCTACCCAGTCACATGACCACCAAGCCACACTCCCACCCAGTCACATGACCACCAATCATGCCCACCTAGTCACATGACTACCAAGCTACGCCCACCAAATAAGTCACGCCCACAGAACTGGTAGTAAAAAAATTTGAATCCCCACCACTGCTAATATTGTTTGGCCTAGAATACTAAACAGGATGAGGCCTGGTTAGGAACTTCATCAGAACTCCACAGAAAGAGAAGTTAAAAAAAAAAGCAAAAACAAAAAACAGAAATGGCAAACTATCATCACATTGCTGCCAAGAAAATTTGAAGGACGTATCAATGATTTCATGAAAAATCTATCTATAGTCTGCTTCAACTCCTGCTTAAAATTAAAGAAGGCAGAACAGAAGTGCCCCTTTAATAGCTCCAGGAATGTATATTATTCTGCAAGACCATCCCATCTGGTGAGATGCATTTGTGTTGACGCAAGTTCTCAATATAAACTCTGGAATGTCTGCTACCTTCCTGTCTATTGGATTAAAACCAGCCAGAAGAATAAAAATACTCATATTAAATTATTATTGCTACTTTGAAAAAGTCAACGAAGTTGCTGGGTTCAAACCTAAGAAAGTGAAGGAGATTTAGTGAACAATTTAGATAAGAGACTCA